GTGGTCTGAGAGACTGTTTGTTATGATTTCTGTTCTTTTGCATTTGCTGAGGAGTGATTTATTGCCAATTATGTGGTCAATTTTAGAGTAGGTGTGATGTGGTGCTGAGAAGAATGTATATTCTGTGGATTTGGGGTGGAGAGTTCTGTAAATGTCTATTAAGTTTGCTTGTTCCAGGTCTGTGTTCAGGTCCTGGATATCCTTGTTGATTTTCTGTCTGGTTGATCTGTCTAATATTGACAATGGGGTGTTAAAGTCTCCCACTATTATTGTGTGGGAGTCTAAGTCTCTTTGTAAGTCATTAAGAACTTGCCTTATGTATCTGGGTGCTCCTGTATTGGGTGCATATATATTTAGGATCGTTAGCTCTTCTTGTTGCAGTGATCCTTTTACCATTATGTAATGTCCTTCTTTGTCTCTTTTGATCTTTGTTGCTTTAAAGTCTATTTTATCAGAGATGAGAATTGCAACTCCTGCCTTTTTTTGCTCTCCATTTGCTTGGTAGATCTTCCTCCATCCCTTTATTTTGAGCCTTTGTGTATCCTTGCATGTAAGATGGGTTTCCTGGATACAGCACACTGATGGGTTTTGGCTTTTTATCCAATTTGCCAGCCTGTGTCTTTTGATTGGGGCATTTAGTCCATTGACATTTAGGGATAGTATTGTTATGTGTGAATTTGATGCTGTCATTTTGATGCTACCTGACTGTTTTGTTGGTTAGTTGATGCAGATTCTTGATTGTGTTGCTGCTTTTTTACCATTTGGTGTGTTTTTGGAGTGGCTGGTACTGGTTGTTCCTTTATATGTGTAGAGCCTCTTTCAGGAGTTCTTGTAGAGCAGGTTTGGTGGTGATGAAATCTCTGAGTGCTTGCTTGTTCACAAAGGATTTTATTTTTCCTTCACTTATGAAGCTGAGTTTGGCTGGATAGGAGATTCTGGGTTGAAAGTTCTTTTCTTTAAGGATGTTGAATATTGGCCCCCAGTCTCTTCTGGCTTGTAGGGTTTCTGCTGAGAGATCTGCTGTGAGTCTAATGGGCTTCCCTTTGTGGGTAACCCGACCTTTCTCTCTGGCTGCCCTTAGCATTTTCTCTTTCATTTCAACCCTGGTGAATCTGACAATTATGTGCCTTGGGGTTGCTCTTCTTGAGGAATATCTCTGTGGTGTTCTCTGTATTTCCTGGATTTGAATATTGGTCTGCCTTGCTAGGTTGGGGAAGTTTTCCTGGATAATATCCTGAAGAGTATTTTCCAGCTTGGATTCATTCTCTTCATCACATTCAGGTACACCTATCAGACGTAGATTAGGTCTTTTCACATAGTCCCACATTTCTTGAAGATTTTGTTCATTCCTTTTTGCGCTTTTTTCTCTGTTCTTGCCTTCTCTTTTTATTTCATTGAGTTGGTCTTCGACCTCTGATATCCTTTCTTCTGCTTGGTCAATTCGGCTGTTGAAGCTTGTGCATGCTTCACGAAGTTCTCGTGTTGCGTTTTTCAGCTCCATCAATTCACTTATTCTCCTCTCTATGCTGTCCATTCTCGTCAGCAGTTCGTCCAATCTTTTTTCAAGGTTCCTATTTTCTTTGCGATGGGTTAGAACATGTTCTTTTAGCTCATTGTAGTTTCTTACTACCCATCTTCTGAAGTCTGATTCTGTCATTTCATCACCCTCCTTCTCCATCCGGTCTGGTTCCCTTGCTGGTGAGGAGTTGTGATCACTTTTAGGAGGAGAGGTGTTCTGGTTTCGGGAGTTTTCATCCTTTTTACGCTGGTTTCTACCCATTTTTGTGGGTTTATCCACCTGTTGTCTGTCTCTGTCCCAGGGAGTTGGATCTTTATGAGTTTCCGTTGCACTACTGCCTTTTTTGATTTTTTTTTTTCAGGTCGGACCCGCCCAGCTAGCAGCCCGCCTAGCCTCTGCCTGCCCGCAGGGGCTTTGCTGAGCTGCTGTGGGCTCCGCCCAGCTGCCCTGAGCTCTTCCCTGTAGTCCTTTTTATATGGGCGTAGTTAGAACTGTCTGGGCAATGGTGGCCCCGCCTCTGTTATGGGGGACTCTCTCTGTTGTGGCAGGTTGCCTCGGCAACGGCGGGTTGCCTCAGCAATGGCAGCCTGCCTCCGTAGCGGTGGAGAGTCTCAGTAATGGCGGAAGCCCCTCCCCCACGGAGCCGGACCGTCCCGGTTCAGCTGTGCTTGGTTTGAAGGGCTCAACCCAGAGGGTTTCCAATTACTGTTTTTGTTTTGGTTGTTGTTGGGGGTGGAGGGGTGGGACCAACCGAGCCTGATCACCTGGCTCCCTGCCTCAGAGTCTTTTCTTTTAAGTTGAACGACCCCGCGTTCCGGTCGCTTGTTGAAAAGGCGCCGGGATCTCCCGTGCTGCGACTTATGGAGTCGGCTCGAACCGCGGCGCCGGCTCCTGGCGGATTTTTTGCCTAGGAATCTCCTGGCCTGGCTCGCTATTTCAGATGAATGGGCTATTCTGCCGTCTCAGGGCTCTGCTCGCCAGCTAAGAGGGCTCCCAGACCAGTGGCTTTTGTACGGAGAACCGCAGCAACAGGGAGTGGTCACAGCAGCCGCGCGGGCGGAATCAGCCCCACGGGGGCCAAAACAGCCGCACCGGCTGGGACTGCGACGCTGGCGACCCCTCTGCCTGGGTATCTCCTGGTCTGTGGGCAATAAGAGTTCGTCTGGAAATGCGGCATCCACTCACCCTCTGCACTTTCACTGGGAGCTGAAGTCCTGAGCTGTTCTTAGGCGGCCATCTTGAAAGTCCTCCCTTTCATTCTTAACGTGACCCTATTTGATTGATGAAATTTGTCTAATTCTCTGATGTATTTTACTTGGCTCAGTAACAATGTATTTCATCAGTTGTTATTTAGTTTATTAATTTTATAACAGAAATTTTCTCCTTGAATGGTGTTCCTATTTTTTGCAAACATACAAGTTAATCCAGGAAAAAGAAAATGAGATGATGCCATCAGGAATAATCTAATTCGGCCATATAGTCATTTTAAACTAAAGTTTTCCTGCAAGTTGTGACCACTTCTTAATGGTTTTTTGACTAGATTGAGTAGTTGTTGTTTTTTCAAACCAATTTTTGAGACTAGGGACCAGTAACACCAATTTAATGAAAAATCCACCTGTCAATTTGCTAGAAAAGCAAAACACACCACACCAATAACAGTGAAATAACTAACACAACAATAAAACTCGTGGCTAGACTGAATTTACACAGTTCATCTTGTTTTACGGCATTCTGTCCCTAAAATCACGGGCTCTTATCTCTAGTTTTCCCATAGTTTTCCCCTCTGATGTGGTTATCTATTTAGTGACATTTCAGTGAAATTCCACTGCTTAACCGTTAGCCTTTGGGTCTCCTCAAAGGGTTCTTCTTCATTAGACTGACAATACAAAGAGAGTGCGGTCTCCTGTATTCGGGTATTCTCCCATCAGGCAGACTTGGGTGTATGTCCTGACTCTGCAATGCTAGCTGTGTGGCCTTGGATGAATTTCCTTACCCTAAAGCCTCAGTTTCCCTATCTGTGAAATGAAAATAATAGCTACTTCATGTGGCTATTAGACAAAATGAAAGAATGCATTTGCAGGGTTTAGCTTACTTTCTAGGAGACAGTAATTATTCAGTGAATATTCTTTCTCTTCAACAGCAGCAGCAGTGGCAGCCTTTGGAGTTGCTGGCAGTAGCTGCTTTATCCCAGCAAATCCCCTTCTCTTCTAATTCTCTGTTCCTGCCTCACAGGACAAACCTCCAGTGCATGGCCACTCCTTTCCCAAGCTTTGTCCTTTGTGACTGGAAATAACAGAGCTGCTCTAAGGTTTTGCCAAGTCGTTACCTGCCACAGAGAGGGGAGATAGAAGTTCCTAAAGAAAACAGTGCATTAAGATTGTGCAAGCCTTGCAAATGTAAAACTGGATCTCCTTTTCTTTAGGACTTCTTTGGTTGCATTTTATCTGCATGGTTCTGAAAAGGCCAGGTGAAGAAAATGAGCCCATAGGCATAATGTCACATTCCCCATCTCCATTGATGGATATTTGCCCATTAATTCCCTTTGCACCAGCTCGCTCATGTCTTCATTTTCCCTATGCAATTACTGGTCCTAAATCCTTTCAGAGAAGGGAAAGCATGCATCCCCAATAGCATTTTGCATCTACAAATCAAATATGTAATTGGCATCTCATGACGGGTACCCACAAATCACAGTGCATTTGAAATTACAGGCACAAGATCGAGAGGGCATTTTCAACCTTGTCTGGAAAGGTCTTCATAAACCTGTTGGAGAATAATAAGATAGTTGCGAAATCTCCCATTCTAACACCATTTGCGATTATTTTAAAATCATTATATTTGCTGAGCTTACATAATTTTTCAACTTATCAACAGAAGATTTTATTTGCATACCCCATAATCCTGCTGTGTGATTCTCTACAAATAAAAATGTTATAGCAAAAAGACAGTGGCTATCAAAAATATAATGGCTGTGCATCCAAATTACTTCTGAGCACTCAAAAATGATTTATTTATATGGTTATATGCCAATATATCCACGTGTCTTGGTAAACTTTACCATCTAGACGTCAAGAGTCAAATCTTAAGTCCCTATGAGCCAACATTATTCCCTGTAGAGATCTGACTTTAATAGGCTAGGAAATTCAATCCAGATTTCCTAAAAGTCATACACATGAATTTAGCAACTATCTCATTACAGGAATATTAGAAAGATATTCCTTAAACCTGAAAATTATTAACTTGGGATCCTAGGCATTTATAAAGAATTATGACTCCTGGCAATTAAAAAAAAAAAAAAAAACAGCAGTAGATGGCACGAAAGACACCATTTGGCTTTCCTGTGTCCACTGCTCACAGTGCATAAAAGTGTAGATTAAATCACTGTTCAGTTCGGCATGGGAAGCATTTAGTCCGTGTGGGGAGACTGGAATGGAATACGGAGCCTGATATTGTCGTTTCATCTCTTCTTCTTCTCTTGCAGGCTACGCCCAGGAGGAACAGCTGAAAGAAGAGGAGGAAATAAAAGAAGAAGAGGAGGAAGAGGACAGTGGTTCAGTAGCTCAACTGCAGGGTGGCAATGACACAGGGACAGACGAAGAGCTAGAAACCGGCCCGGAGCAGAAAGGCTGCTTCAGCTACCAGAACTCTCCAGGAAGTCACCTGTCCAATCAGGACGCCGAGAACGAGTCTCTGCTGAGCGACGCCAGCGATCAGGTGTCGGACATCAAGAGCGTCTGCGGCCGAGATGCCTCGGACAAGAAAAGCAACACTCCCGTCCAGCTTCCGCACGAAACGCACAACTGCATGGACAAAATGACTGCAGTCTACGCCAACATCCTGTCTGATTCCTATTGGTCGGGCCTGGGTCTCGGCTTCAAGCTGTCCAATAGCGAGAGGCGGCACTGCGACGCCCGGAATGGCGGCAACAAGAGCGATTTTGATTGGCACCAAGACGCTCTGTCCAAAAGCCTGCAGCAGAACTTGCCTGCCAGGTCCGTGTCGAAGCCCAGTCTGTTCAGCTCAGTGCAGCTGTACCGGCAGAGCAGCAAGATGTGCGGGACTGTGTTCACCGGGGCCAGCCGATTCCGATGCCGGCAGTGCAGCGCCGCCTACGACACCCTCGTGGAGCTGACAGTGCACATGAACGAAACGGGCCACTATCAAGATGACAACCGCAAGAAGGACAAGCTCAGACCCACGAGCTATTCAAAGCCCCGGAAGAGGGCTTTCCAGGATATGGACAAGGAGGATGCTCAGAAGGTTCTGAAATGTATGTTTTGTGGCGACTCCTTCGATTCTCTCCAAGATTTGAGTGTCCACATGATTAAAACAAAACATTACCAAAAAGTGCCTTTGAAGGAGCCAGTCCCAACCATTTCCTCGAAAATGGTCGCCCCGGCGAAGAAACGCGTTTTCGATGTCAATCGGCCGTGTTCCCCCGATTCAACCACGGGATCTTTTGCAGATTCTTTTTCTTCTCAGAAGAACGCCAACTTGCAGTTGTCCTCCAACAACCGCTATGGCTACCAGAATGGAGCCAGCTACACCTGGCAGTTTGAGGCCTGCAAGTCCCAGATCTTAAAGTGCATGGAGTGTGGGAGCTCCCATGATACCTTGCAGCAGCTCACCACCCACATGATGGTCACAGGTCACTTTCTCAAGGTCACCAGCTCTGCCTCCAAGAAAGGGAAGCAGCTGGTGTTAGATCCGCTGGCTGTGGAGAAAATGCAGTCATTGTCCGAGGCTCCAAACAGTGATAGTCTGGCTCCCAAGCCATCCAGTAACTCAGCAGCAGACTGTACAGCCTCTACCACTGAGTTAAAGAAAGAGAGTAAAAAAGAAAGGCCAGAGGAAACCAGCAAGGATGAGAAAGTCGTGAAAAGAGAGGACTATGAAGATCCTCTACAAAAACCTTTAGACCCTACAATCAAATATCAATATCTAAGGGAGGAGGACTTGGAAGATGGCTCAAAGGGTGGAGGGGACATTTTGAAATCTTTGGAAAATACTGTCACCACAGCCATCAACAAAGCCCAAAACGGGGCCCCCAGCTGGAGTGCCTACCCCAGCATCCACGCAGCCTATCAGCTGTCCGAGGGCACTAAGCCACCTTTGCCTATGGGATCCCAGGTACTGCAGATCCGGCCTAATCTCACCAACAAGCTGAGGCCCATTGCACCAAAGTGGAAAGTGATGCCACTCATTTCTGTGCCCACAAACCTGGCCCCTTACACTCAAGTCAAGAAGGAGTCAGAAGACAAAGATGAAGTGGTGAAGGAGTGTGGGAAAGAAAGTCCCCATGAAGAGGCTTCATCTTTCAGCCACAGTGAGGGCGACTCTTTCCGTAAAAGCGAAACGCCCCCAGAAGCCAGAAAGACAGAGCTGGGTCCCCTGAAAGAGGAGGACAAGCTGATGAAAGAGGGCAGCGAGAAGGAGAAACCCCAACCGCTGGAGCCCACTTCTGCTCTGAGCAACGGGTGCGCCCTTGCCAACCACGCCCCAGCCCTGCCATGCATCAACCCGCTCAGCGCCCTGCAGTCCGTCCTGAACAATCACCTGGGCAAAGCCACGGAGCCCTTACGCTCAACTTCCTGCTCCAGCCCAAGTTCAAGCACAATTTCCATGTTCCACAAGTCGAATCTCAGTGTCATGGACAAGCCAGTCCTGAGTCCCACCTCCTCAAGACCAGCCAGCGTGTCCAGGCGCTACCTGTTTGAGAACAACGATCAGCCCATTGACCTGACCAAGTCCAAAAGCAAGAAAGCCGAGTCCTCGCAAGCACAATCCTGTACATCCCCGCCTCAGAAGCACGCTCTGTCTGACATCGCAGACATGGTCAAAGTCCTCCCCAAAGCCACCACCCCAAAGCCTGCCGCTCCCTCCAGGGTCCCTCCCATGAAGCTGGAAATGGATGTCAGGCGCTTTGAGGATGTCTCCAGTGAAGTCTCGACTTTGCATAAAAGAAAAGGCCGGCAGTCCAACTGGAATCCTCAGCATCTTCTGATTTTACAAGCTCAGTTTGCCTCGAGCCTCTTCCAGACATCAGAGGGCAAATACCTGCTGTCCGATCTGGGCCCTCAAGAGCGTATGCAAATCTCGAAGTTTACGGGACTCTCAATGACCACTATCAGTCACTGGCTGGCCAACGTCAAGTACCAGCTTAGGAAAACGGGCGGGACAAAATTTCTGAAAAACATGGACAAAGGCCACCCCATCTTTTATTGCAGTGACTGTGCCTCCCAGTTCAGAACCCCTTCTACCTACATCAGTCACTTAGAATCTCACCTGGGTTTCCAAATGAAGGACATGACCCGCTTGTCAGTGGACCAGCAAAGCAAGGCGGAGCAAGAGATCTCCCGGGTATCATCGGCTCAGAGGTCTCCGGAAACAATAGCTGGTGAAGAGGACACAGACTCTAAATTCAAGTGTAAGTTGTGCTGTCGGACATTTGTGAGCAAACACGCAGTAAAACTCCACCTAAGCAAAACGCACAGCAAGTCACCCGAACACCATTCACAGTTTGTAACAGACGTGGATGAAGAATAGCTCCGCAGGTATGAGTTTGCTCCGAGGCATTGCGACTAGCCTTGTGAGGAGCTTCTTATAGGGAGATGGGTCTGCCTAGAGGCAGCTAGCGTCTCCCAGTGTCAAGCAGGATAGTAGCTTGCTGGAGTAAGATTTATTTTTATGAAAGACCAGAATGTGAAAAATAAGTCCTAATCATTCTCTCAAGTCCTCCAGTTTAGAGCTGGGAACTAGAATAAGATGGGTTTAGAGAGATGAAGTTCACAGATGACTACTGCATTTTCTAGGCTTTCATCGTCCATAATCCTGAGTTACCCAAGCAAGCTCCAGTGTCCAGCCAAGGCTATCTTTCATTTTAATTATTAGATACTAACTTCCGTCACCATTCCATTTCACCACCCCACCTTTCCATAGCAGTGCCAATGACTTATAAAGTAATAAAAAGGTTAGCAATGGAAGAAACACTGGAGCTTTGCTAGAAGTACTTATTATACTGAGATTTCTTAATCAGCTCGTGAATAGCTTAAAGTTGTCTTTATGATTGTTATTTTATGTAATAACTGTTTTTTTGCAGCTTACTTTTAGCAATTGCCACCTTCCATTCTCTTCTCCTTGGTTATTGTCTGCATTAAGTTTCCTATGAATGAGCATGCGCCCTTAACAGGATGGTAGAAAAATATTCTTCTTTGTAGAACATTGAGATGAAAAGAGAAGCAGCTCATTTTCTTCTCTCATCTTTTAGTTTTCTTGTGAATAGACCGGTATTAGAGTCTACCTTTAGCAAAGATGAGGAAATGCATGCCCTTGAGGTTTTATTTCTCATAAAGAAGCAAATGGCTTTCTGCACACTTATTGTTCATGTGCATGGCGTCCCACACCTTCAAGATAATTTGCATCATGTATCATAGAAGTCTTATGCCTTATATTGTCACCCATGCCCAGAGTATTTGTGTCATTTTTAGGAAACAGGGCAGAGGTCAAATGCCTTAGCAGATTAGTCTCACCAGCCATTTTCAAATGTTGAGTATAAGCAACGTTGTGTCTTAACAAATCTGTTTCATCTGCCTTTTTGGGTTTTCTCTGCTTCTTTTTCTCTCCCTTCCAGCATGATGCTTCCACACACTGAGGGCCCTCCTATGTGTTCAGGTGGTCCTCCGCCTTGGGCCATCCCAAGATGGGAACTCAACCTGAACTAAACCTTCTGTGCTGACCAGTCCAGTTTATGTCATGCTAAGTTACAGATTTGCTCCTAATTCATCAGCTCTTAATTAATTCACAACAAAATATGAAAACCTAACAACATGTAATCACTCACCACCTCCTATTGTCAGAGCATTGGTTTATAAATAGAAGACTTTCAGAACAAGCTAGAGAGGTAAGACACTAGGAGAGTTCCAGGTAGAGAGGGGTATTTACATGGCATGGCTTTGGGCTCGCCTAAGATCAGACAGAGATTTACCTGAGTGTGAAGATGGCCAAGATAAAATAAAAAGTTAAAATATCTGGCCTGGGACTTTCCCCTGAGTGAGGAGATCTACACTTCTGTTTGAGGAGTCATCCTATAATTCCAATTGCTATCTGACCCCAAATGAAGACCATCTTTTTGGTTTGCATGTTTTTATCATGATGATTAAATGTGTTGTTGGCAGATTCTTCTCTCTCTCTCCAAGCATGATTTGTTCAGCTCACAGTATAGAAAGAAAAGCTGAAATGCATCCATTGAAATCATACCTGAGCTTGGGGCTCAACAACATCCTATTTATTTGTTATATAACATTTTAAATCTTATATAACTTGCCATTATATTTTCCTGATTCTTTTAAAAAAAAAAAAAAGTGGGCATACACAGAATACCTAGAGAGAAGAAAGATATTTCAAATCCAACAGTGGTGGGTTGAAACCATGGTGAAGAAGACAAATAAGTAATATTTATTTGTGGTATGATAAAGACCACTTTTCCACCTGTTAGGTTTGTAATCTTTTTTTAAAAAAATTAATATAATTGCCAAAACACTGTGGTATGGAAATAGGGAGAGCGAAGGAAAAGAAAGCTTGATCCATCGTCAGTCAGAATCTGAAATGTATAATACCTGTTCTAGGGATTCAAAGGTAAACCGATAATTTGGAAAAACATGTACAGAAGGTACTTAAAAACCTGTTAAATGCATAGGTAAGATAGCTATTTTGGCCCCTCTCTGCATTTGTACAGGATGAGCATATCTAATTTGGACCTTGAAAGTGTTGCCTTAGTGTTTTTATTACACAAAACCAAAACTCCATCCTTACAAGCACCATTAGGCTGTGGTTCTGAGAGGATTGCAGAAAAACAGATTTGAATGTTTGAGACTCGTTGAAAGCCATGGTCTTGTATGCATGCTTTGTGTACAGAAAAGAAGGTGGAGGTACTGGCTCTGTTTGTGTTCATCTTAAAAATATTCCTATCCGCCTGAATGTTTCCCCCACCTGTACAAAGGTCGATTCTTGATGCCTTGGCCACCTTAGAAAAAAATGCCTCTACTCCCAGGATCCTCTTTTAGGACAGCATTTATGCAGTGCCTGTATTGGTGCATGTAAGGTTTTTAAATAGTCATGAAATGACATCACTGTTATCTGGAACTCTAATCTTAGCTGTAATGTATGGTAGCACAAATTGTGGAAAATGGCATAATGTTTTAGAAAGTATGATCAAGATTTCGTGAAAAATATGAGAGCTCTAACAGATCTCTGTTTTCTGATAGACATAACTTTTGATCTGAATTTTCTTTCCTTTATCCACTATATCTAAAATCCTGCAAAATGCTCTGCCAAATATTAAATGCAACTTTTCATTAAAAATTCATTAGAAAATATTAAGTGTGCATCTCTATTTTAGGACATAAGTAATCTAAGACAATTTCAATGTGTATTTGTATATATCTTTAAAAGCCACATGCTCTTGACTAGTAGAAATTAAACAGAGAGCAAATCAATGAGTCTGAAATGCATAAAGGCTTGAAATTATAGTCATTACCGTGTAATATAGTGTACAAGTCTAACAGCACACCTAGCCTTGAAATTGTTGGCAGGGAAGTATTCTAGTCCAATGAGCTGCCACTTTTGTTGTGGGCGGCTTGATAAAAACACATGTCCAGGGTGAAAAGCGTGTAAGGTTGCCAGATAAAATACAGAATGGACGTCCAGTTAAATTTATATTTCAGATAAATGACAAACATGGTTTGAGTGTAAGTCTGGCCCAAACATTGCATGGACTGTACTTACATTTTAAAAGTATTCATTGTTTATCAGAATTCAGATTTAACTGGGCATCCTGTATTTTTATTAGCTAAATCTGGCAATCCTAACAGCATAGATTATATGGCAATCTGGGAAGAATCAGACAGGCTGGACAAATTAATGTCTATTAATGGCATCAACCATTCCTTCCTCCATTAAATAAGTATTCCTTCCTTTCATCTTCTCTTCCCTCATTCCTTCCCTCTTTTTCCTTCCTTCCTTCCTCTTTCCCTTCTTTCCTTCCTTCCTTTTTTCTTTTTTCCTCTCTTTTCTTCCCTCCCTGCATTCCTTTCATCCTTTGACAAATATTCATTGTGCTTTTACTATGCGCCAGACTCTATGATATTTAACAATGGAAATGTAATAGTGAACCAGCAGTTCTACCAATTATAATAGCAAAATGTGCCAGGCCTTGCAGCAAGCACTTTGCAAACATTATTTTACTTTATTCTCACAAACAGCCCTATGAGGTAGAGGTTGATTCACTCATGATAGGGAGGAGGAAACAGAGGCAGAGAGAGTCTGCTTGAATTTCCCAAGGCCCTACACTCTCTGAGCCTCACGCATTCATTATGACGTATCTAGAAAGCCGTCATTCCACAGCAAGCACTGTGCTAATTCGCAGGGAGTAAGCCATAACCAGGACAAGAGTCTGCCTTTGAGACTAGCCACAGACACATAGATGAAAAATTCTAGGGGAACGCTGAAAGGAGCACAGAGGAGGTGGCTCTGCCTATTTCCGGGTGAAGCCGGGATGGGGAAGAGTGGTCTCAGAGGCAGTGTTCAGGAAAGAATGCTGGGTTTAAACCCCATCTCACCCACTTACATGAAGACATGCCCCACTTCTACATCTACATGATGTGGACATAAAGTCCCTCTCACAGGAAGGTTGTGAGAATTAAATGTATGTAATTATTTTCCATAAAGCCTGGCACACAGTAGGTTTACAAGAAAAGCAAGTTCTAGACAGAGCTACCGTGTTCTGTAGCCTCACCTGCAGCGTAGAGAGCTCACAGCAACTTCTCAACTTTAACTAATTAATAACCCCACCAAAACCTCAACCTGCTGTTTGATTCAGATAACAGTGGCAGTGAAACTACCGTTGACTGGCCTCTTTTTATAAGCCAGGCATGATGATTCATAGTATCCTCATTCTGCAGAGAGGTAAACCAAAGCTCAAAGAGTTTCATGATTTGTCCAAAAACACAGAACTAAGCCTGGAGGTAGGATTGGAACCCAGGACTGTCTAATGCTCATCAACTTTCTTCTGCTTCTTGGTTTTCTCCTCCTTGCCTGACGGTTTCTAGGCAATACTTCTGGCCAGATGTACCTCCAGCAACCCAGAGAAAAAGCTGTAAGATGTGGCCTAGGAGTTGAGAGGAGAAAGGGCACTCTCCTGGGCCTCTTGGAGGCTCCAGCTTTCAACCAAACATTGCAACTCAGGGGCCCAGGACTGACCCACAGGGTGAAGTAGAACATGCTTGTTCACTTTCTTTTAATGCTCTTGTTCAGTCAGGTAATTATATATTTGCCGTATGGTGTCTAACCAAGAAATGACCCACATTCCAGTGAAAATATATATACATGTAAGATTCAAAAAGAAAATCCTCATTCTGACCCTCAGGAATT